TTAAATAAAGACAACGCTAATATTTGTAAGCATGTAAGACTTGTTACTGGTAGCTAAGCAATCGTGTTGGTCAGCCGAGCAGTAGCTTGTATGATAATTGAAAGTTTATGACCTTTAGTTTCACACATACATCATAGGGTGGGAAATCAATTGTCGTAGAAAACAGTCGTCCTGTGTTCGTGCTGTCAGACTTTGACTGACGGAGTAAGTGAATAAAGATGTGCTGTCAAGCGAGGTTTCGTGTAGAATGCTCAATTTATGACAGGTGCTACTAAAACTGAGGTGAATCAATCACCGTGACCATCAATGTCCGCTGTTGTCACAACTGTGAGGCCCTCCTCTGTTCCTGTCCACAGATGAGAGAGTACCTCTCAGTGTCTTTCATCATCATCATCATCATCATCATCATCATTGCTTTCTTTTTGGACAATTGATGTCTGATTTTGTCTTTGTTGAAGTCTCATGTTAACATCATCATTATCATCATCATCATCATCATCATCATCATCATCTTTACTTTATCTTTTTGGACAATTGATGTCTGATTTTGTCATTGTTGAAGTCTCATGTTAACATTCATCATTGATGTCATCATTTTAACATCATCATCATCATCATCATCATCATCATCATCATCATCATCATCATAATCATAATCTTTACTTTCTTTTTGGACAATTGATGTCTGATTTTGTCATTGTTGAAGTCTCATGTTAACATCATCATCATTATCATCATCATATTCATCATCATCATCATAATAATCATAATCTTTACTTTCTTTTTGGACAATTGATGTCTGATTTTGTCATTGTTGAAGTCTCATGTTAACATCATCATCATCATCATCATCATCATCATCATCATCATCATCATCTTCTTTTCTTTCTTTCTGGACAGTTGATGTCAGATTTTGTCTTTGTGAACTCTCATCTTACAGTGGCAGGAACATATCAATGTTAGTTGCTCTTGAGTCTGTTCAGAACCTCTGGAGTCGCCATTGTAAGCCCAGTGCGACACATGCAATGGAGGTATTTTTCATTGTTGGTGTTAATTATCACTTCTGTCAGCTCTACATGTCCATAATGAGCTTACAATGCTTTTGACTAAGTTTACAGCCTGTTATCCGGTCAGCCAGGGACTCCGTCATGTCAGCTGATTGTTTGATTGGTCAATTATATGATTACACTTTCCTGTAGAACACCCATGTTTAAATAGCCGCAGTTGCTGTTATTGACTCATTAGGTTCCTTCATCATTCACAGCCTGGTGATCGGCACAGTCAGGCTAGGCGGGTACGGACTGGGGCTGTCAATGGGTTCATTTGTCGCATACTGGAGATCAACTTCTGTTCTATGTTAAATGACAGGTCCAGTTGGATGGGTACATCTGTGAAGTTGTTTAGGACATCATATTGATTGTTTGTAATACTGGAACCTAGACCAGCCAGTCAAATGGTTGACACTGTGAGTGTTGATCTACTGAATTAGGAGATGAAGAAGAAGAAGTATATTTCATTATAGTGAAGACAAGACATTAGATTGGGTTAAAACTATTCTTAATTTAAAATAACATACTGATTAAAAATATCAACAGGCACCTGGTTGAACCAACCGAGCATGTTGATCACCTCTTATGACTGCACTGGTTACTCATAAACAATCTTAGACTGGGTGTTCACAAGTTTACACTTTTGACGTGGAATAGTTTGTCTACTGGGGTAACAAGCGGACTCCCGAATACTGTACTTTTGTAGTCAGTTGAAGCAAGTTCATTGATGAAATTTGTCTATCCAAAGCTCATCTGATCATCAGCACTGTCAACAGATCAATGTGTGTTCTGAATGAATTCTTAGCATCTCTGGAGTTTATCTACCAGTGTTGGGAATCAACCTCTAAACTTGCAATCGATTACCTAAAAGAAAATATTGTCATGCTCTTAAAAGTTCATATACATGGTTTATGGGTGCATTGTATTGAATTTGACAGTATGAGTTTTCAAGGCTGTTGAAGTATGTATGTTCGTACTTTAATATTGATTCTAAAATTATGTGATCAATAATAAAATTTTGGCATGTAAATGACTGATCAATGTTACGTCTCCTATCTATGTATCTAGATCAAACGGAAATTACTGCAGTACATAGTCAGGCTTTGTAGAGCCACGTGACATTTAATTGTCATGTTTGTTACCAGTTTTTGTGTACATACAAATTAAAGGGACCTTGTGTGGTGGCGCTCCTTTGCCAACAGTGTATAGTGATTTGGATGCTCAGTTGTGCCTACATTGGCCTGACAATCTCGGTATTGATTGACTCCCAGTCAGTCGGCTGCAGATCGATCATGTTCCTGATCACTAGAGCTATCTATCGACTCTGGGTTTTGTCTATCAGTGTACATAAGCTGATCATCACAGTGGCTGATCACTGGTGGAACCTACCTGTTCCTCATCAGCGTCATGTCCTGAGAGGAGGAGAAGGATGAGGAGAGGACCACTTACACCAGATGAGCTGCACTCCACATTGCCAGCATCTCCTCAACTGTCCATCTCCCCACCAGGGCAGTGAGGGAGAAAGTTAAGTAAGCTAATTGACGGGACCATATTTTCCAGCTCTGCTTTTGAACAATGGCCGTGCAGGATCTCCTGCAAGTGGCTTTCTGTATCAGTGTACATATCAGTGTCTGTCACTTGATCCCGTGTCCATGATGTGTTCTCGTGGCAGGGTCTGTTGCTGTGTTTGTAACTGCTATGTCTGACTTTGACTGTGGTTGTTTTGTCCGTGTTGTTGTCTGTGACTAGTTGTTCTCATTGTTTTGATATCTGTTATGGCAGCAGTTATGTGTGTGACATTTGTGAGACTGATTCCTGTGGTGCCTGTGTGTAATTGACACTGTAGGTTCATTTGTCCAACTGACTCTTTGTTGTCTGTTTCTTTCTTGGGACCAGGGGGTAGCCTGATGGTTAAGGCGTCCGCTCGTCACGCTGAAGACCCGAGTTCGATTCCCTACTTGGGCACAAGCCCATTTCCGCCCAACACTGTAAAATCTGTGTCAGTCTGACAATGTGGTATCTGTATCTGACTGACCGTGTCATATCTGTGTCCTTCTGACACTGTGGTAGCTGTGTCCGTCTGACACTGTGGTATCTGTGTCCTTCTGACACTGTGGTATCTGTGTCCTTCTGACTGTGCTATCTGAGTCCGTCTGACACTGTGGTATCTGTATCTGACTGACTGTGTCATATCTGTGTCCTTCTGACAATGTGGTATCTGTGTCCGTCTGACCCTGGTATCTGTATCTGATTAACTTTGTTGTGTCCTTTTCTATGCCTAACTTACACTGACACAATTTTGATGACTGTTTCTAATGGAAAATGTGTTTTTTATCCTTGTGTTGCTTGTGATATCTTGGAGTGATGATATGATTTTTCCACTGATCGGATAATTTAGACTGAGTACTTCTCATTTTGGTTCTAACATTTTTACCACAGGCCTGATGATGCATTGGCGCACGTCTGTGGGTGCTTTGAACAGCATGGGACACTGGCCCTGTTTTGTTCCGAGTCTTTAATATGATGACAAGTTATGCTGTGATAGCATGTTTGCAAAGCATTGAACATTTCATCTCGCACAAGATTAGTAGGAGCCCTTCACATTTTCAATATGATGGATCTGTGAGATTGGCGATAGATGGAAGGGCTCAGATTCATTTGTTTTTCATGATAGCAGTTGGTTTGATAACATATTAAGCTTCACATGTTTGCTGAATGAAGTAACATATTTTTTAAAGATTTTCTTTCATGATGGTAATCACTTCCAACTAGAAAGGTGAAGTTTCCTGATTTCTTTCATTGGTGTTGGTGATAGCAAATATGGAACGAACACAGTTTCTGATAGTACAGCCATTTTGAATATCACTGTATAGATGTGTTCTGTTTGTACAGTGTAGTTCTTCTATCTATATGGTTGGTCCAGGGTAGGCTTTAAACACAAAGAATGGCAGACATTACAGCTATTTAGGTTGGTCAAGTGTACATGGGTTCACTTTTTCAATTTTGTTAAGATTATCAAATCTCCAAGATACCAACACAGACTTGCCACAGGTGATTTGTCAAGCAGGGACATGCTTTTCTGAAAAATGCTTCTTTCTTGTAGCAATACATCCTTTCAGATTTGAACTGTGAAGATAGTTCCTCAGCAGAACACTAGTTGTACCTTCAGATACCTCTTGTTTTTAGGCAGTGTTCTTCAGAGTGCATATTTACAGAGGTCCAGTACTTTCAGAAACTCCTTGTCAGAAAGCATTATGTGTAACTATGCATTCTGTATAACACTGCTTTAAAACAAAGTCAGTCATTCAGGGTGGCCTGACTTGGCCTCTCAGTAAACTACTGCTTGAAAGCAAGGAGTTTCTGAAAGTACACCGAGTATGGTTAGTTTGGCGTTTTAGGGTACTCTGTAGAACTCCGCTTGAAAACAATGTGTTTCTGAACGTACAGCCAGTCAGGTTAATGGTGTCTCTGTGGAGGTCCGTTTTTGAAAAGGTACCTAGTGTCCAGCAGTAATCAGGATGAGAGGATTATCCAAGGTCTATAGGTGATGCAAGCTGTCACTGCCTGAGGGGGAAGGATACAGTTGACTGTCTTGTCACCTGAGCTCCAGGATCAAGCACCTTGCTGGTGACACAACTTCCAGTTATTACATTAACTTCATCATTGTCTTTGTTCTAATCCCCAGTCACCCTTCAATTGACATCCAGGCAAATCTGTCCGGATTCCCTGGTGGGGGACAACCCGACGAGGTTGCTGTGTTTTTATGAGTGTAGTAAAGCTGTGAGGTGGCAGCGTTGAGATGCTGACGTGGAGCGGAGTGCATGCCCCTCCTCGCCGTGGCCCTGCGACCATTAGTGCAAGACTACTCCAATAAATGTCAACACACAGAACAACAACACCTCATGTTCTTGTAATTAATTTGACATAATTTCTTTATGTTTTTGATTTCAGCTCTTGAAAGCGTGCAAACTGAACTCTTTGAGGTCAAGGCCAAATATGACGAGGCAACATCTGCAAAGTAAGTAAACTTCATTTGTTGTTATTGGTATTGTGGGCATCTATGCAGCACTGAGATGAACAGAACATTTCACCTTATTCATTAGTTTCAATCAGCAGTTTGGAGGTAAACAAATAGGTATGTATCACACACTTACATTCTGTACTGAATACACCCAAAGCCCTACAATGCCATTCAGTTAAAACAAAATAGCCATGAAGATGGGCTGGTTTCCCTACTGTGAAGACAGCCAAACCACCTTACTGGGAAGATGGCCAAACCACCTTACTGTGAAGATAAGAAACAACCTTACTGGGAAGACGGCCAAACCACCTTACTGTGAAGACGGCCAAACCACCTTACTGTGAAGATAAGAAACAACCTTACTGGGAAGATAAGAAACAACCTTACTGGGAAGACGGCCAAACCACCTTACTGTGAAGACGGCCAAACCACCTTACTGTGAAGATAAGAAACAACCTTACTGGGAAGATAAGAAACAACCTTACTGGGAAGATAAGAAACAACCTTACTGGGAAGATGAGAAACAACCTTACTGGGAAGACAGCCAAACCACCTTACTGTGAAGATAAGAAACCACCTTACTGTGAAGACGGCCAAACCACCTTACTGGGAAGACGGCCAAACCACCTTACTGGGAAGATGAGCAAACAACTTTATGGTGAAGACGAGCAGACTGCCTCACTGTGAAGACGGGCAAACAACCGTACTGTGAAGATGGACAAACAACGTCACTTTGAAGACGGGCAAACAACCGTACTGTGAAGATGGACAAACAACCTCACTGTGAAGAAGGGCAAACAACCGTACTGTGAAGATGGACAAACAACGTCACTTTGAAGACAGCAAACAAGCTCACTGTGGAGACGGGCTGATGGAGCAAACAACCTCACTGTGAAGAAGGGCAAACAACCTCACTGTAGAGTTGAGCAAACCTTATCATGAAGACGGACAAACTAGGAAACATTAAAGATAAGCTAATCTGAGGATTGCCAGAACACCTTATTTAGAGGCAGGCAGAACGCATAATGAAGAGAGCGACACCAATGCATAAAGTCTAATTCTGAAATCAGACAAGACACCATACATGATTGTCATAGAATCCTTTGCTAAGAGCTGTAAACTAGCTGCTGTAATGGAGGCAGACTGTAAGAACACCCTTACCACAAGAACACTGTGAACACCTTACTCTACCTGTAGACCTGTTGACCTGACATCAGTAAGGACTCCAGGTCTTGTAGTTATTGCTTTGTTGTACTGGTAATGTTCAAAAATAAGAATTAGGAGACTTTTGTTCCTTTGTCATCCAGTATTTAACCTTAAGTGATTAGCTGTGTGGTATGATGGCGTTGAACTCATTGCCCTGTACTTGGTGAAATGTCTTCAGCAACCCATGCTTGTTGTGAGAGATCACAAACAGGATTAGGATTGGGTATTCAGGCCCGCTTACTTGTCTATTTCATGTCATCACTTCCCAATTTTGTCGCTTGATGCTAATGATGCCAGTCACTAGATTGTCTCATCCACTCAATTATTTACTCCCACATCTTATAGCTGGAATATTGTAGAGTGTTGTGTGAGACAAAAAAACACAGCCCATTGTCTTACACTACGACTGAAGCATCTGTGAAGTGAGTTTTGCATTAGTCGAAACCAGTCTAGATTATAGCAAATCCAAGTAGATGACATCAGCATTAAAACTATTTTTGCCTAGAAGAGAGAATTGTATTGTGTAATAAAAGATGTCCTGGACTATATGTTAGTCTATTGAACCAGTGCTGGGATGTTTGCTGGGACCAGCCAGACAGCTCTCAACAGCATTTGAACATATCACCAGTACATATATATATATGCATTACATTAATGTTCTCTCTTAACCAGCCTGGCCATAATGTAGTCAAACATGGTCCACTTGTGGTTGTATAGAGAGAATGTGGCTGTATAGTGAAATCTTAATGGATTTGTAGAATATCAATAGCACAGCTATCAATTATAGGCCATCGATTGCTCCGTGATGAACACTTCCAATCAATAATTGAATTTGTAACTATAGAGTTGCCATGGCAACGGAGCTGACTCCCCTAGAGACAAAGAGAGGGAATTCACATACAAGACAGCCACACAACTAATTGACACAAATTGCTCTTTTCTCCATTTTGCTTTTCCTTTATTTTGTTCTTCATCTGTGACTAATTTGCAATAGTTGCTCCACATAGTCTGTGAGCCTACGTGTTCAAAGATGCCACTTAGCTTTTTCCTTGAATTAATTGAATTTTTCATTCGATTTAGATTTTTGAGATTTTGAAAATGATAGGCACTGTCATTGATGAAATGCGAAATATCTTCCATTAAAGATCAGTAAAGCTGGAAATTTGAAAACGATGAAAGCCTATGATCAGATTTAAAAGGTGAAAAAGTATAAGATTGAAGATAGTGTCAGTTGAGCAGTCAATTTGCTTTAATTATAATCAGTAATAATGGGAAGGTGTGAGGGCCTCCAGTGTTTGTAATGATGTGAAGTCCCTTAACACTCAAAACAGTGACTGAGAACACTGAATGTGTATCTCCTCGAGGGCGACTCAAGTCGCCGCCATCCTTTCATGATGGACAACACGGGGGCACTCATTCTTGTGTCTTGTAATGACTTCTCATGCTTCTAGCGACATGATTAGACTCTCTTCTCCCAAAGATTTCCTTTACTGTTAGGTTCAGCTAGCTGGCTGGCTTGGCGTAGGTTCATACCCTCGCAAGTTGAATTGGTGCTGAAGGACCTGCTGTTCAGTTCCAGGAAAAAGCCCAGAATAATTTGCTTACATTTTGTTTTACAATGGTTAAAGCTAAAATTGAACATCACATGAAATGTATTATGTTAGGCCTTATATGTTTGGGTGGTGGGGTAGCTAAGTGGTTAAAGTGTTCGTCTTCTGTCCAACACATGGGTTCAATTCCCCACATGGGTACAATGTGTGAGGCTCATTTCTAGTGTCCCCAGTGTGATATTGCTGGAATACTGCGGTGTAAAACTCTACTCACTCACTGATACGCTCCTTATATGTTATTTGAAATTGGTTTAACAGACAGAACATGGAAAGAAAAATCTGAAAGAGAAAAAGCCTTTTGGAAATGTATATATATTTTTTTAAAATATGAGATTCTATCACTGATGTTTGTAAGAAATGTTGATCTTTCAGTATTTTCTATTTTAATTTTTTTTTGCTTTTCATTGAATACTGGCAGTGCCAATGTGGAAGCTGAATTTGTGTTTTGGGGTGTTTTTTACCACATAGATTAAATTTTCGACCAAAATGTTGCTTATTCAATGAAAAGAAAATTTGGGTGCCAGGCATCCTCACCAAGATGCTTGTCCGGTCAAGTGACATTTCTTTCACAAAAGTTGGCTCCTGTCAAAGACTGGGATTGAATTCCCCACGTGGGTAAAATGTGTGAAGTCAATTCCATTTGTTCTCCACCACGATATTGCTGGGATTTTGCTGAAAGTGGCATAAAACACACTTTACATTCACTCACTCGCTTCAGGCAATACTGATCATGAACCTTAACTACAACAATCATCATCATCATCATCATCATCATCATCATCATCATCATCATCATCATCATCATCATCATCGTCATCATCATATTATTATCATTAAATGAACATGTTCCGAGAATAAGTCAAATATTAGTTACCATTATGATGGATATAGCATTGCTGAAAATCACATAAAACCCCCCTCACTCAGCCGCTTTAGACAATCTTGATCATGAGCCTCGACTACAACAACAACAACAACATCATCATCATCATCATTAAAATGAGCATGTTCTGAGGATAAGTCAAGTATTGATTACCAGTAGTACATTTCGACTGCTGTGTAAGAGAAAAGACTAAGGATCAACAACAGAACGCTGTTCCTACTTAGCTAACAATGTCGGTCTTAGTTCAAGCAGTATGGAATATTACCTATTATTGATCTGAGAATGTTGTATGGTATGTAGGATATTGTATGTTCTGCAATCTGTGTCGTCCTAGACATCCACATCTCACATGTTCCTAGCATTTCCCAATGAAATATCTATCAATGCCGGGCCCTGGAAGCCCTGCTTTGTGTGATGTTTCACTTTCTTTTGCAAACATCAATTTGTTTCTGAACATACATCAGTGTTCTCGATAGTGCCCGGTCCCTGATCCATTAGCCAAATAAAAGCATCAATACACGATCGCAGGGAAACATCGGTAAACAAGGTTCTCTGTCTCCTTTTGTGCGACTGTCTTTTGACAAGGTGTCATTCTCTGAATCACTGGTCTGTGTGGCCTTGCGAAGCACTTACCTCGGAGCTGAGATTGCGGCCCCAGAAAGAATGTATCGACCAGTTCGATCGGCAATATATCTTTTTCATGCTAGGTACACCCCATAATAGGGGCAAACTGAAACAAAATGCTGTTGTGTTTTTCTTGCCAGGCTATCGATTGAGCCAGTCCTTGAAGAAATTTGGTATTGATTGTAGAATCTCAGTTTACAGTCAATAATGTTTTGTGTAGAGATACGCGGTGAGTTGTATCTGCTAGAACAATACTGTCCATCCTCCGTCATGATACACTTCAAATCTAGTATTGATCCTTCCGATGGGGTTGGGGGAAGTGGGGAGGGGTGGGGACTGTCTGGTAGCCGCGTGGAAATACCTTTCTGCTCTGTACCTGCCGGGGATGAGACTAATATGGCTACCTCTATGGTGTCGCTGCGTCTGGTCAAGGAATCGTGTCAGCACCGAAGTCCCAGGTTATGCATACAATTATCCAGTGTTTGTACTGTAAGACCAGTCGTTAAATCCTGTCCTTGGAGTACAAGCTGGAAACAAACACACAAACATGCACTTATCAATCATTTCAAAACATCATATATTGTGTTTGAAAATAAGAAAGGAAGTGAAGGATCCTTGTCTTGACAGTAATGTTAAGAATCAAGTTATGTGGGTTCCTATATTTTTAACTGTGG